AAACACGGATGAAACTTTAAAATTTATCACTAGTAATTGTAAACGGCTTCGCGTATTCAAATTTACTGTGCGTGGTTGTTCTGCTGCGCTTTTGAATAATTTCTTGGATTCGCAAGAAGATGGTTATCTTGAAGAACTTTGCATCAAGATTACCATGGCTCCTAGAACATTATTGGCTGGCTTGACACCATCTGTTGTTGCAAAAATTACTGATTTACGTATAAATGGACTTCATATTGATCATGCGATGGATAATTTAAGATTTCGGAAACTCCAATCTTTGGACTTGAGTGATTGCCATAGTGTTGATGAAAAAACATTCAATGCGTTGGAATTTGGTCAGATGATAACTGAAATCAACCTTTCGGAAACAAAAGTATCAGAAGAAGCCATAGTAGCACTTGCTACTCATTGCAAACATAATCTTAGAAAATTGATTATGTTGCCATGTGGTGCTGCTGATTCTGTTGAACAAGGTATCAAAGCACTCGCGACTCATTGCCCTAATCTCATAGAATTCAGGTTGGATGTAATTCGTGTTGAGATAAGAGCTATAATGGAGTTAGTTCAATCGTGTAAAAAGTTGCAAATTTTAGTTCTTGGTGGAGTTGATGTAAATAATGAAGACTCTTTACTTGATGAACTTATGCACTCCATTCGTGTTAACATCGGAGAATCCATATGTGCTCTTGATGTGAGAGAATGGACTATAAGTGACCAGGCCGTGATTGATTTGGTCAGTGCCTGCCATAATTTGAACAAACTGGTTCTAAGATATTGTCGTAATGTTAATGATGATTGCATAACGAAAATCTGTCAACACCTTGCTGGAACACTTAGACACCTTGATGTGGCCAATTGTCCTCTGGTAACTCCAAATGGAATTGTAACTGCTGAAGAAGAATTAGTGAATTGCAGAATAATTCATGCTTCTAGACTATTACTATAAAAAAAAAAATCACTGTTCTCAAAATTTTAATTTTTTTCACTACTATTTCTCTTTTTTTTTTTATTCAATGCATTATTTTTATTTTTGTTTTTGATTCATTAGGTAACTTATTGTACAGTCAAGTTCTTACGTGTTTTTTTATAACCCATATATAAATTTTTGGGAATAAATTAGATGTGGTATATGCTGGCTTTCTGGCTTAAACACGAATAAAGGTTTTTTTTTTGTCATTCACTATATTAAGAGAAAACCCCTGTAGAAGTGAAAGGTATAGAAAAAAACTTTTTTCTGTATTCAGTGCCTTTGACTTCCCAAAAAAAAAAGAACACTATAATTTTACCAAACCGAACCTAAATGATGAAAAAAATATATGTATATGTATGTATGTATGTATGTATGGTATACAAGAGAAGAATTTGCACTACTAATATATAGTAATACGATTTTACAAATATTTCATTATATATTTGGTATCATTTTTGATTATGGTATTCCAAAGTCTTTCGAACTGCCCATTACTCTACGATTAGCATTGTTATTACCTTCCTGATACCAGTTTAAATTCCAAATATCTGAATTTGATGCTCCTATATTATTACTACTAATATTATTACTACTACTACTACTCATAGACACTGTATCACTAATATTATCTGTTCCTCCTGATCTTCTTATTGGAGGCCATTCATTATCACCAACAGGTCTGTGTGTTAGACGTGACGACCCTAGTTGATGCTGCGGTTGCGGTTGTTGATTCTGTGAAGATTGCGACTGTTGAGATGTTTCTAAAAAAATGATCGTTTTTAATTACTTGTAATTGTTTATTTAATTTATAGGTTTAAATAAAATTTATCTAACCTCCAGGTAAGGCCGAAAATAAAGAATTAGAAAAATATGAACTTTCAGCGGGTGCAAGGCTTTGCCGCCTATTCGTCATTGGGTGTGGTTGATCATCGCCAATCAACGCGCCAGAGCCAACCATATTACCAAATCCTGGTGGTGGTGATCGTGTTC